GAAATCATTGAATTCAGTTTCTGCATTTTCTTAGAAACGGAATGTCTTTTAGCTTAAAAAATTGTCAAGTTGCTTAAAAAAGTGTTAGGCAGTGGGTAAACAACCAGGGTAATATGGTAAATGTGGCAAAATCTATCCCACGTCTGTGAGCTTCTGAAGTGTCCTCCTGACAACAGGAAATAGAATTGGACTTGGTCAATTACCCAGTGCTGGTCGCATTTTGTTTAACTGAATGTGCATCTTAACTCCGTTACTGGCAGTAAACTTCGGCAGTGATTTTCTGGTTGGATACCAGAAAGCTGTAATGGATAACGCCAATGGTGGACGACCGGACAGTCGCCATAAAATCTTCTGTTGGTGCAATTTTGATTTTGGAAAGTGTTTGGTTCATTTGTCATGATCAAGCCATTAAGCCGACCGTTTACGATTGTCATAAAGGATCCATTTCTTATCACAAATCACTATTTGATCAAGAAATGGACCATTTGAATTTGGAAGGTGAAGCAGTATCGAACATACTTCAAAACATCGAATTCTGACTTTCACTGAGTTTATGTGGAACCAATTGATTGAGTTTGTTTGCTTAGCCAATTTTCTTCTGATTGTCCGACATATTTGAAAAACATTGTCTGTGACATCTCTCTACGTCTTTGACTGGTGTCTTCAGATGTTGATTATCAATTGCATTTGAGTGTCCTCAACCATCTTCATCTTCAAGACCCGTATCTCCATTGTAGAATTTTAGAAACCAGAGGTGTAAAATCCAATTACAAGTGAATCCTTCGCCCTCTGTCAATGTTCGCAGCAGTTTGAGAAACATTATGACTAAACTTAAACTCATGCAAAAAATAAAATAAATAAACGCATCTCTTCTTTTTTATGTTCAAGGTGACGGGTATATAATGTCTTAAGTTAAATTCTGAAAGAGATTGATATAAAATTAATAAATATGTCTATATTTCTGAGATAAGCTATTATATACACTATTTACATTATTCGGACTATTGTTCTCATCTTTGTCGCCAAATTTATCACAACTTTTCGGCCGTTGTACGCTCCGGCCTTCTTCAGGAGGTAGGAATGTCGAACTGAACCCTTTATTTCGCTCACTGGGGTAGACTGTTCTAGTTCCACGTGCCATGTTTAATGGATGTCAGTTATCAGTTATCTCCTGTTAAGGCGGTGGAGAACCTTCAGAGGGAAATTAACAGGTTCAATTCGACATTCCAGCCACCTGAAGAAGGCCAGAGCGTACAACGACCGAAACGTTGTAATAAATATGGCGACAAAGATAAGAACAATAGTCCGAATAATGTAAATAGTGTGCATAATATCTCATCTCAGAAATATAGACAGATACCAAAGGGCCGAAACGTTGTAATAAATATGGCGACAAAGATGAGGACAATAATCTGAATAATATAAATAGTGTACATAATATCTCATCTCAGAAATATAAACAGATACTGAAAGGCCGAAACGTTGTAATAAATATGGCGACAAAGATGAGGACAATAGTCCGAATAATGTAAATAGTGTACATAATAACTCATATCAGAAATATAGACAGATACTGAAAGGCCGAAACGTTGTAATAAATATGGCGACAAAGATGAGGACAATAGTCCGAATAATGTAAATAGTGTACATAATAACTCATATCAGAAATATAGACAGACACTGAAAGGCCGAAACGTTGTAATAAATATGGCGACAAAGATGAGGACAGTAGTCCGAATAATGTAAATAGTGTACATAATAACTCATATCAGAAATATAGACAGATACTGAAAGGCCGAAACGTTGTAATAATAGTCTGAATAATGTAAATCATGTACATTTACTAGTTCTACTGCAAAGAATGTTGGTTCGCTATGTTACGCCAGTAAATTCTTCTCGTTAGAATATTTTTTGTACATCTATAAATCCGTCCGTGCATTAAATACTGTTGCCATCTTGTCTGGTGGCCACACGGAGATATTTCATAAAGAATTGGTTAGTATAGGTAGTACCCTACAACATAACAACTACTCTGGTTACATGGCAGCAAACCCAAAAGACTGGGATAGGCAGGTACAAGAGGAGGACAACAACACTCAGAAAACAGTCTGCCTGCCTTATGTGAAGGGGTTACCAGAGAAAATACAAAGGATCTGCGGTCCATATAACGTCAGGACAACCTTCAAAAGCTTGACGACACTTCGCAGATATCTCTCCCGAGTAAGACCCCCTATAGAGTAGAAGATGACTAAAGACTGTGTACGCTATCCCGTGCAGCTGCGGAAAGAAATATAAAGTGGAGACAGGCTGCCCCCTTAAGGTAAGGCTTCAAGAACACCAGAAAGCTGTAACACGAGGGGAAGTGGAAAAATCAGGTGTGGCTGACCACATATGGAGAGAGAAGGGAGATCACCGCCCTCTGTGGGATCAGGTTGAAATCATAGACAAAGAACACCCTTGGAAAATTCGTAAACTTAAGGAATCAGCACATATGCTAGCCCACAAAAATCTCCTGAGCCGACCAAGCATAGAAATGAATACAATATGGGAACCAGTAATAGGGAGTGCCAGAGAAAAGCGATAATAACAAAAAAAAAATTACAATATGAGCTCTGGTAAAAACATGTAATGATAACAGCAAAAATTGCAATATGAGCACTGGTAAAAAAATGTAAACTGAAGACATTAGGTTTATAATACCCAGAAATTCATACACAGATGTCCTCAAGGTCACATGACACAGTAAATAAAGGCGTTAGTTAGATCCAAATAGTGTCAGTTCAATACCCGGTTAAGGCAGTGGAGAACATGGAGAGGGGAATTAACAGGAGATAACTGAAAACTGACATCCATTAAACATGGCACGTGGAACAGTCTACCCCAGTGAGCGAAATAAAGGGTTCAGTTCGACATTCCAATCACCTGAAAAACGTTGTGATAAATATGGCGAAAAAGATGGGGACAGTAGTGTAAATAATGAAAATTAATAAGTGGACATTTTAGTCATTAGGTGCAATTATTTTCATAATATATTAGAATATATATAAAAGGTTTATTTAAAATCGAACATTATTTCTAAACTTAATATAAAAGTAATGCAAATGATATTCAATGCTTGATATGGTGGCCATTTTACATATTGTATAACATTGATTATTCTCAAGTGATTCATGTGTGTTGTTCAATTCTGTAATAAACCATCATATAATGAGATATAGCAAACCACTTTTGAAATAATTGATAATCCACAGTACCTTCTACAGAAATATCTTTTTTTTTGCTTTCGTGTTGCAATTTTACTTCTCTCAAAATAAAAGACACAAGACATCGAAAAGGTTACTGATGTTCGTCCATGTTCTATGTTAGAATTTAGTCAAATACGCAAATTTTGTTTTTTTAATGCACGATAAATGCTGTTAATATTAGAATAAAAAGCAATCAGGTTTTTCATAAAACTAAAACATATGATATCAGCAGGTGAGAAATAGAAGAATATCTCCTGGCCAATCAAATATTTATTTATCTAATATCCATTTATCAAATATCCATTTGTCAGATATTCATATATCAAATATTCATTTATCAAATATTTATTTATCAAATATCCATTCATCAAATATTCATTGATCTAATATCCATTTATCGAATATTTATTTATCAAATAAACATTTATCAAATATACATTTATCAAATATTCATTAATCAAATATTCATTTATCAAATATACATTTATCAAATATTTATTTATCAAATATTCATTTATTTAATATCCATTTATGAAATATTCATTTATTTATGCCAAATATGTTATAAAGACAATTTAGGAAACTATTATCTTAACATGTCATTAGAAAAAGGCATTTTATTTCAACCAAAACTACATAGACGAGGCAGAACGTGATTCGCCATAAATCATTTGAACGCTGTATTCTTTTAAAAACTAAAATTGTATCGTTTTTTAAAAAATAAATGACAAGAGTCGTATGGCTTCTCTACCTCTTAAAATTATGAAGGAAGACTAGTCCCGCTGGACCCGAATCCTGCGGCAGCACCATCCGCATCGTACTAAAGAGGTAGATTTGGGGTAGACCAACCCAATCATGACAGAGTGAGAAATGTTAGCCTACATTACAAACATGTCACATCGTAGAAAATTCAGTCGTCCATGTTTGTTGTATTAGAAATCCGAATGTCCGAATTTCAAACAATAATAAAATAAAATTAAACAAAACATGGTAATTATAAAATAGTAGAAAAATATATTCCTGGTTATTTCTTATTTAATGCCTGGTAAATAAATCATTTGTATTTACAAACCTATGTATGTGAATTCAAAAGAATTAAAAAGTATTAAAATAGGATTTAGTTGAGTTAAAGTCGTTGGGTATTTGGTACACGGAAAAGTTGAGAAAAGACTTTTATCGACAGCGATGATTCACTGACCGTCTTTGCCATTATTGGCAATGATTCGTCGCCAACCCATGTTTCTTTTTGAATGCGCTGGGTGGAAGCAAAAATCTATGTAGCCACGTCTTCTTTTTGGCTTGGAGACACTCGCATCTGTCACATTGAAAATCGAAATATATATGTTTTTATAACAATTTTTTCCCGAAACTAGGCTCATACAACATCCCGTGGAGAGGTGAGTATATACCTGATTCATAGATCAAGGCGCTTCTTCAGCATATTCCAGTTCTTACTAAACTGGTGTTAAAATAATGCAGGACACAAAAACTCTCAAAACAAATGTATATATAATTAAAAACGTGAGTTAAAATGAATAAAATCTACTTAAAAAAAGGTAGTTGAAGATTTACAAAAAATCCCACGTTTAAAGGATTAACTTGAATCACGTTTTGTCTCTTTGTAGATTTGTTTGAAATAAAATTCATTTTCTTATGATGCGAAATATATAAAAATAAGAGTTTCCTAAATTATCTTATATTTACCATTCCGTTGGATTCACGTCTAAATTTAAATCAAACTGTTAAAATGGGAAGCAGAAATCTATCTATCTATCTATCTATCTATCTATCTATCTATCTGACATCACAGTTATCTATCTATCTATCTATCTATCTATCTATCTATCTATCTAATTCTATTCATTTCAATCTTTCAACGAAGCTTTAGTTCGGTACGAGGCCATGATATTGAAGTACGCAGTGAAAAACTCATTTCACTTGTGATAAATCTGCAAAGCGAAATTGTAAAGCACCATACGTTTGTAGGTATTGTGTGTGTGTGTGTGTGTGTATGTGTATGTGTGTATGTGTATGTGTGTATGTGTATGTGAGTACAAAGCAAAAAAAAGTAAAACGAACTGAAATGACACCATATAAAGTTTGAAGCAATCGAAATGCACTCACATCATCATCGTTATAAATGTAATTGTTCAAAGATGGTTATATATATTATCTAAGTAAATCAATATGTCAAGTGCCTAATTTAATACAGCAAATATTTCTTTCCAATTCTCCTCATCTTTGTCGCCGGTTGCTTCTTCAGGTGATTGGAATGTCGAACTGAACCCTTTATTTCGCTCACTGGGGTAGACGAGAGTAGGTATTGTGTGTGTAGACTGTTCTAGTTCCATGTTCAATGGATGTTATCTCCTGTTAATTGCCCTCTCAAAACTGCCTTAACCGGGTATTGAACTCATACTCTTTTGGTCACTGGATCTAATCAACAACTATATCCATTGTGCCACTTGTCCTTGAAAACATCTGTAGTTGATTTTTCCGGATATTATAAACCTTCAGCAACCAGTTTTTTTACCAGTGCTCATATTGCAGTTTTTGCTGTTATCAATTCATGTTTTTACCAGAGCTCATATTGCAATTTTTGTTGTTATTATCGCTTTTATCTGTCACTCCTTATTACTGGTTCCCATATTTCAAGGATTAAATGCCCATTAAGGAATTGTATTCCTGATCAATCATAATTCGTAAATAATTATATAGGCCACACTACAACATGTTTGACACGCAGACTAACTCTACACCTTTCTGACAATAGCTCAATTAGATCTCATTTAAATATTCATGGAGACCTACCGGATACTATTCGTAACATACTTGTTGACAACACTAATATAATAGCATCATCTACATGCAAAAAAAGGCTAAAAATAATGGAAGCCTTATTAAAAAAACAAACAAACCAACACTTAATAATATTAACTTTGAACATGGACATAATATCTTGACCGTGTTTTTAAAACAAAAAAAAAATGAAAACATTTTATAAAACATACATACAACAAACTATTTCTAATTTTAACAGTTAAAATATAATCCTTTTAAATGTCTACATGTATAGCCGAAAGCGCTCGGATAAAAAGAACATTCGGACAGTTTTTATATAATTTATCATCCGAAAAGAAAAAAAATATTAGATCGCATGAGAATGTGTATAAAAAAAACTAAATAAAAGCACCTTGTCTGTCGTTTTCAATGAAATATATATATATATATATATATATATATATATATATATATATATATATAATGTTGATGCACCCTCGTATGTTAGTATGCATATATATATATATATATATATATATATATATATATATATATATATATATATATATATATATATATGTATAATATTGATGCACCCTCGTATGTTAAAAATATTCTTAGCATTAGAAAGATTTCGAAACGCTATTGTATTTTCATTTGGTCAAGTAAAACGCGTCGGCTGAAACTACAGCTTCCCTATTGTCTTTTTTCCTCTATACATATTGTCTTTATATACAGGTTAATTCTGAGAAAATTATCTATCTATATATCAGAGATAGATAAAGTTGGAGAGAGAGAAAGTGGATATAGATAGAGATAGGTAGATTGATAGTGATATAGAAAGAAAGAGATAGTGATATAGAGAAAGAGAAAAGATGAAATTAAATACAGAAATAAGAAACTTTAGACAATGTTAAACAATTCAAATACGTTATATAAATTCAAATTGACTTGTCATTTTCAAGTTTTAATTTTTATTCTTTATCAGACCACTATCTTTTCTTTTTGGATATCTGTTCAGGTTTTATAAAATACACACACTCATTTGTTTTGTATTTATTTTTTCTGGACACAAATCAAAATGTACGAGATAAGGATTTATGTCAAGAGTTTTTCTTTTCCGACCCACTCTTCTCTAATCTGTTTTGATGTATGGCATGGAGATTCCATCTTCTCGTCAAGGCGGCTGCTGCTTCTGCTGCTGCTTTTGCTTACATAAACGTCGTCTTATTGCTAGGCGTCCTTCTTATATAATGGTCTGCAGAAAAAGGAAGAGTAATCTGAAATCATGACAATATGCCAATCTGTTTGTTTTTCTGCGTAACAAAAAGTATTTTCCTTTTTATAACCAAAGCTTATTTCATATAAACGTCTGAAGACGAACAACTATAGTTAAATAAGGTACAGGTTGTAAAATATTTATAAATTGAACCTGTTTCGCTATTTAGTTAGCTTCATCAGAAATTTCTTACAAGTGGAATAATGTGGAATTTTTCGGTTTTTCAGATTTAAGCTGATTTGTTTTCGTTGATTGGGTAAACTTCACGTGTTTATCTATGTTCAGTATACGTGCATATGGTAGGAATCCTTCTATTAGGGTTTTTGCTAAAAAAGCCAAAATTCGATACAATAACATAAAACATTGTTGCGGAACTGCTCGTCGAATAATCCCATGACTTTCATTGAAAGAATAAAATCCAACACGAAAAGAAAACGTAGTATCAAAAGTAACATTAATTTTATATATCAACAAGAATTAAAGAAGTTGGTTGAATGTATTGAATAAGTAATGACATTTTTGGTTGTTAATAAAGTCCTTGGATAGAATATAAACTGTATTACGCACGTATGTGAGAACGGTGAAATGTGTGTTTGGGTGAAAAAGTCAGTATGTGTATTCGTGCGTAGTTGTAACGTGGATAAAGAGATAAATAGAATTTAGTTCTTACTGTGGACGGTTGTGTCGTAGTCTGAGGCGGTCTCTTTGTAGTTTAGTCGGTGCTGCTAAGTCGAGCGTTGCTTTTGCGTGTGGACGTGAATGGGTTCTTGAATATCAGCAGCTAGAGTGACGTGGACCTTGGTGACATCTGTGAGTTTCCTTGTTGAAGCCGTTCTTCGTGATTTTTATAACTTTTTCCAAAGAAATCGGCTCCAGAATTATTTTATTTATTCTTAATTGGCGCTAAAAAGCCACGTAGTAAGTCTACTACTACGCCCACGCGATATTTTAGTGGTATATACCTAAATTATTATGACCAATAAAACAATCTTAGTGAATTGCATTCTATGCTTTTTTATTGTACGGTTTAATTAGTGTGTTTTTTAAGTACTTTATTGCATGTTATTGGTTTATAAATATTTAGTAGGCGTGTTTATTGTTTGTGTAAATATTGTTGGCTGAAAAAGCTTCTCATGTTTAAAATGAATACGTTTATAATTAAGTTTATAATTAACAATAATTAGTTTTATTGTGTGAAATATGTTGTATTAATGAATAAAAAATAGATATTTTAGTGGACACGACAATGTATCAATTTTTATGGGTTTCTCGTGTTTACTTTATGGCATCTGTGTGTGTATGAGTGTTTAATTCTTGGAATGTTCGTGTAATTGAAGTGTTTTTTCATAATGTCACCCTATACAAAGCCCAAGAGCCACTCAAGATTATTGAATAAGCTTATCGCATGGACGGTAACATGAAGAGGTAAGATGCGCAGTTTATGAGGATATATGGAATGTAGTGATCGAAGAAGCATCCTCTTGGGAGTCGGTTCCACAAAGAAGCAGTTTGTTGGAGTGGAAGTTATTTTTCATTAATGGAATACAAAAGTAATGAGGGTGGTTCACCTCAGGGTACGCAGTGTGGCAGGTGAAGTTTAGATTTGGAGGAACTAAGAAATGTTGCTCGTCTGAAAATTTTCCATAGATATAGCAACAGAGTAACGAGAGGCTCACAGCATTTCGTCTGAGCAAGATTGTAGAAAGATTGGAGTGATCGGGGAAGCACCCTCTTGGGAGTTGGTTCCACAAAGCAGCCGTTCGTGGGAAGAAGCTGCTTGAGTGGAACTTACATCTCACCAAGGCAATACGTAGGGAATGAGGGTAGTTCTCTATAATGGATGTGGCATGGCGCGTCTTAGCCGTGAATGTTAACTCTGTGGAATTAAGGTTCATCTGAACACTTTCTATGAATTCATACGAGTTCCGATGGACAAAAGCGTAATAGAAAGTGAAGACTGGGTAGCTCCAGCCGATATATGGCAGCTGTAATCTATTTCCGGCATAATCTGACTCTTCTTATGGTAGAGGATAGAAGAAGGAGTGAGGTTAATTGCTGGACAGGTACAGAAAACCGACTATTTCTCCAGAATCTTTAACGATAGATTGTATGAGTTCCAATTGACTTCTGCGCTGTGTTTACGTGTCAATAGGTGTTCAAGGCACAGGAAAGCAAATGTATTCATACCTTTACGCATAAGAGAATCTAATGGGATTTGAATTTTCATTCTGAGATTCTATCCATTACATCAACAGGAAAAAGGAAAGAAAGAACAAAACAAGGAAAGAGAAGATAACAGTTAACCCTAGACTTTAACAGGTTAAGATTGTAGTGATCAAGTGAGCAACCTCTTGGGAGTCTGTTTCACAAGAAAGTGGTTCGTAGGAAGACGCTGCTCGAGTGGAACTTACATCTCACCAATGAAATACGAAGGGAATAAGGGTTGTTCGCTGTAATGTATGTGGAATGGCGGGTCTTAGCCGTGAAGGTTAAGACTGGTGGAACTAAGGAATATACTCCGTGGAAATAGCGATAGAGCAGCGAGAGGCGTGCGACGTTTGATCTAATGGGAAAGAGGCTGTAGATTGAAAAATAATTAGTCACCCTCAAGGCTGCGTAGAGGCTTTTGAACTCCGTGAAGAGTGGAAAGTGGAGACTAATCAGATTCAGCCCAGATATGAGAGCTCTACACTATTTTGGGCCTGATCTGGTTGTTGTAAAGGTAGAACATAGCAGGAGGTGTCAAAGATTTTTGCTGGAGCCGTACAGGGAACCGATCATTTTTTTAGCATCCGTATCGTAGGATCGACTTCCGTTGGACGAATGTA